TATCCACTGGAGTATTGAGATGTGACCCCACAGTGTCCTGATTACCAACCTGTCAATAATGTGGGTCTACCACTTCTTGGCTTCCTGCTTCTGCTTTTTGGGTCACTATGTCCTATGTATGTGTCTGTACATATCAACCTCCTCCCCTCTACCATCTAACCTTCCCCTCTTGCTGGTTCATTCTGTGCTATCTTCAAACTTGCTCAATCCTCCTACAGCTTTAAAATAATTTTTTTTACCAGATCCTGCCATCCCCTTAAGCTTTCATCCTATATGTCTTCTCCCTTTCTTAGCCCATCTCTGGGGAGCAGGAGAACTATACTTGCCTCCACTTTCTTCTCATTCTCTTCTAAACTCTTTACACTATAACCTTTTCATTCAATGGAAAATGTTCTCTCCAAAGCTACTCGAGCCATCTTAATTACCAAATTTGATGGGTTTTTCTTAGTCTTCCATCTTCTCTCTGAAGCTTTTGAGCAGTGGTTGACCATGCTCTCTTCTTGGATACTCTTTATTCTCTGGGTTTTCTTGACCCTGACCTCTCCTAGTTTTCCTCTTGCCCATCTGCTCCTTTTCAATCTTTTCTAATCATTGTCAATATGTAAGAAAGGGGATCCCTGCCCACCTCAGCTGACATATTCACTGGATGTGGTCACACGTGATGAGATTTTATTGTGTAAACAAGATGTAAACAAGATGCCTTGATCCTTTTATGAGATAGGAATGCTTCTTTCTTTGTGCAGTAATCTCCAGGCTTCCCCTTTAAAACTATATGACTATTGGCAGTAAGGAGAAAAATTACCTCTTCTCTCTGCCCACATCTTTGCAAGCGTCTCCTCTCCAGGCAGCTATTCCACTCTCAGGCTCAACCACTCATGACGTGTTAAAACCTCAACATGTGTGACAGTGTTTTATAAATATGTTAACTGCAAACTTTCCTTTATGCATGTCATGTCTGTAGGTGTAGGTGTGCCCATAAAACTCTGTCCTGGGCCTTCTTTTCTTCTTTGTCTACACACTCTAATTTGGTGGCCTCATTAGTTCCCATGGGTTTAAGTATTATATCTATCTATATATATATATGACCTACAGATTTTATATATGTATACAACCCATTACTCTCCTGATCTGCAGTCCCGTATGAGTTAGTCAATCAATTAATCAATAAGCATTTATTAAGAACTTACTATGAATAAGGTACTAAGCTAAAACACTGAGGATACAAAGAAAGGGAAAATTGGTCCCTGTTCTCAAAGGAGCTCACATTCTGTTGGAGAGACAACATGTAAATAACTGGGTACATGCAAGATATGCACACACACACACATACACACACATGTGTATGTGTGTGTGTGTGTATATCTTGCATGTACCCAGTGTGTGTGTGTGTAATGGGTGGTAGGTAATCTTAGAAGGGAAGGCACTAGCAACTGGGAGCTTTACCCAAAGTAAATGGGTTTCAGTTGAGTCTTAAAGGAAGTCTTGAAGGACAAGGCAGGCGTGAGGAGGGAGAACATTCCAGGCATAGAGAGAGTCAATGCAAAGTCCTTGAGACAGGAATGAAATGTCTTAGGCAATGAAAATCAAAAAGGCCAATGTAGTTGAATCATAGAGAAAGTGGAGAGTAAAATGTAAGAAATGCCTATGGGACATTTCAAGCTAGATGTCCAATGAACGTCTCAAACTCGATGTGTCTAAAGCAAAATCCATTACCTTTTCCCTCAAACCAATCCCTCTTTTGAACTTCTCTATTTCTATCAAGGGCACCATCATTCTTCCAGTCTCTCAGGTTTGTAACCTTGGAGTTATTCTTGACTCCTCCCTCTCCCTCACTCCACATATCCAATCAGTGGCCAAATCTTGCTGTTTCTACCTCCACAACATTTTTCATATCTAGCCCCTTCTCGCTAGTCACATAGTCAACACATTAGTTCCAGGCCTCATCATCTCTCGCCTAGACTATTACAATAGCCTCCTAATTAGTCTTTGTGCCTCATGTCTGAAACAACTCTAGTTCATCCTCTATGCAGTTGCCAAAGTGATTTTCCTAAAGCATAGGTCTAAACAAGTCATTCCTATACTCAACAAACTCCAGTGACTCCTACCTATTGACTCTAGAATCAAATCTAGACTCTATTTGGTTTGTAAAAGCCTGGTCCCATTTCGCTTTCCAACCTAATTATTCATTACTCCACTTCCCACACTCTATCATCCAGACAAACAGAGCTTCTTTCTGGAACGTACACACGACACTCCATCTCGTGTTTCTGTGTCTTTTCCCTTGTTGTCCCCCATACTTGGAATCTGCTGCCACTTCATTCTCTCTTTTCCTTCAAGATGAAGCTCAAGCATCATGTCCTACAAACAGCCTTTCTTGATTCCCTGCAATTGTTAGTGCCTTCTCTAATTATCTTAGCACATAGTAAGTGCTTAGTCAATGCTTGTTGGTTGATTAGATTCCTAAGCTTATAGATGTGAAAAGAACCTTAAAGATCATGTAGTATGACTTCCTTATTTTACAGGTGGTAAAACTGAGGCCCAAAGATAGGAAAGGACTTTCCCCCAAGGACACAGAAAGTTAGTTGAGAATCTAGAACTAAAGCCCACTTCTTCTGATTCTCTTTCCACTATCTTTTTTGCCATACCACACTGATCCTTTGAGGCCAGCTTCCTTCCAGCCCTAGTCAGATGGTCAGGAAAGATATTATGATGTGTGGAAGAACACATGCATTTACCAGCTCAGAAATAGATGTCTGCCTTAAATGACTTTAAGTGACCTCTTTCTTAGAGGTCCATTTACAGGGCTATTATCTTTATATTGTAAAACATGATCTTTTGAAATATCTTTGAAAGTGTTCTGTTTTGTAAACTCAAAGTATCTTTAATCATCAACTTTCTTGGCAAGTTCTAGTATTTGCTTCTGCTGGCTAGTGCATGTGTGAGAAGATAGAAAAGATTTTTGTTGACCTAAATACAGTATAAAGGGATTAGCCAGGGGAGTCTCTGATTTGACGCATCTTGGTCTGCAGTTGGAAAAGCACCTTCCCATGAAGAATGCAGGCAAGCCTTATTGAGAAGTCAGGTGATGACTTTGATTGGTTTATATCGATTGGACCTGCCCCCAAAATGGAACTTAGGGCAGACTCTTACTGGAGTAGCTAGCTCTATAAAAATAAGAGAACAGCAGACTGTTTTCCAGCCTCTTCCCTTTTGTCTTTTGATTGTTATACCAGATTGAAATTGATTGATTGAAATACCAGAATCTAATCTTCTATCCAGAGATTTCCTGAGCAGCACCAGTGTTGGTAAGTGCCTTGTGGTTACTAACCCCAAGTTAACTTCAAGAGTTCAGTGGTCTAGCCTTCTAAAGTGAGAAGAGGATTTCTTAATCAGGAAAAGGATCAACCACATGACTCCTGTAACTGAAAAGCAAAGCCACAATATGGGAATGGGAGAGAACAGGGTAAAAGATATGAACCTAGCCACCTCTAGAGAGTACACACACACACACACACATACACACACACACTATTTAAGTGAGTTATTTGAATAGTATGAGTTCAGTAGAAAGGGTTTTTGCTCCTTCAGCAGTCCCAAAGCAGCTTTTAGGTGGAGTGAAATATTTTTGGCGGGTGTGGGGTGTGGTTCATCAGGACCTTCCTAGCATCTCTGAATTGAGAGTGACAAGACATGAGTACTGTGTAGGTCTTGGTGGGGGGGTTTGTCAGAATGTCAAAAGGATGTCCCAATGGAGTTCCTTCTAAAGAGAGCCACTTAGTGCTTTATTGGATTCTCCCTATCTGCCTACATTATTCTTTAGGTCCTTTGAGTGCCTTCTATATTTTCTGTATCTGTTTCATTGAATCATAGATTTAGAGCTAGAAGGAACCTCCAAAGCCACTGAATCCAATCTCCTTATTTTGCAGATAAGGAAATGGAGACACAGAGAGATTAAGTGACTAGCCTGTGGTCACTTGGTGTCAGAAGCCGGATTTTAACCCAGTTCTTTCTTATTCCAAGTCCAACATTTTATCTAATAACCCACACTGTCTCACCATGAACCCTCTGTTTTCTCCATTTTCTATGGAGTGAACTAAAAGTTGTCTTCTATTCATATGCCTTTGCTACCTTGAATCATTGTACAAGATGTGGGGGCCCTTTTATCTGTATTTGTGGAAGCTAGATATGACCTGTATTGGAGATTTTCCAGGAGCAAATGCTAGGTGGGGACATAATGGACAAAAAAGAGGAAGTTTCTTTTTTTCTTCTTCTTCTTTTTTTCTCATTTTTGGATCATCTTCCCAGATCATAAACACTCTGTAGACTTTAAGCCATGGGTTCAAATAACACCAAAGCCAAGATTATTTTACCACTCTCAGTTATAAACAATAAATGCGGGCATAGAAGATGGAAGACAATGACCTTGCCTCTTTTACTTAGTGATGTTTCTAACTCAAATTCGTTTGGCGAGGATATTGGAAGTGAAATAAACTTTACAAACCAACTTCTTCACAGGTATAATAGGGTTTTTTTTTTTAAGAACACATTGAAATTATTTTTTTCTTTCCCTAGAGACCCACTTTTGAGAGGGATTTTTTGGAATTCCATATCCATTCATTTTCCCTTGGGGCAGGGAGAATGCAATTATAGAAGAAACTGTTTTAAGGGGAAAAAAACAGAGAATTCAGAAATAATAGGAAAAGAGGTGAGTTGCTGGACAAGTCTGATTTTTTAAAATGCTCACCAGTCCCCAGATAATCACCTTTGATGACTCTAAGAAGATGAGGATGCTGATCCTTTGGGAGGGTAGGTCCCAGGTACTTTGCCTTTCTGACTTCCGGTAGCCCTTCCATTCTTTTTCCTGTCCCATTCTTCTCTTCCTTTTAGTTTTGCTATTTCTAAAGCAATACCTTCAAAGTTCCATTTATGGGTTGTCTTGGGCCCTTCAGATGTCAATCTCCCCAGTAACCACTACCCAATTTCTTCAATATACACAACAGTGAAGCAGGATAAAGCTACTGTTTAATGAGGCATACAATATGTCAACCATAATTACATAACAGAATTTGAAAGAGCTCAGGGAGAAATCTAATTTACAAAGTAGAATGGAGTGAGGTCAGAAGATATGTTGAACTGCTGACCATTGCTCCATCCATCTCCATCCCATAGGCTGAAGATGCTTTTCCTCTTATTTAAGCTCAAGTACAAATGCTAAGAGGTGGCTCTCATGTGATCAGAACCACAAACTCAATAAGGAGAACAAAAGATTTTTCCAAATGTCGGACTTAGAATATGCTGGGGATGATGTAATCAGTGTGGATGCCATCAATCAGCCCATCACCGTTGTTATGCACAAACCAGCAGGAGACATCACTGCCCAGCCAGGGGTCCTTTCTATAGTCTTTCTGTGAGCCCCTAGAAGGAGAAACATATTAATTGTAAACCACCCAAGAAAGGTAGATCCCCAGTCATGCATGAGTGTAGTAGCTTTCTCTTCACCCTCCCAAGTCTATGGGTTAGTAGAAGTAGGTAGTGGAGGCTCCAGGTCCCTAGAATACTTGCCTGTCTCCTTCCTCATTTTAATACATACTCATTATTTTCTTTCAGACCCCACATAAAACCCACAGAAAGTCTTACTTGTTTCATGCTGCACAATAGTGCAACTAGGTAGCACAGTGGATAGAGTATAAGACCTGGAGTCGGGAAGACTCATCTTCCTGAGTTCAAATCTGGCCTCACACACTTACTAGCTGTGTGACCCTGGACAGGTCACTTCACCCTGTTTGCCTCAGTTTCCTCATCTGTAAAATGAGCTGGAGAAGGAAATGACAAACTACTCCAATATCTTTGCCAAAAAAAAAACAGCAACAAAAAACAAACTCAAATGAGGTCATGAAGAGTCAGACACAACTGAAAAACTACTGAACAACAAACTGCAATGGTTTCCACATTCCATGTCCCTCACTGTAGTTAATACAATTTTTATAACTTCTTGTACCTGTTGTTATTTTGACTGATAATTGTAATTACTCTCTAGTTATTTTATATGTGTTGATCTTATCTCCCTAGCTAGATGGTTAGCTTTTCAAGAGTAAGGATTATGTTCTTCTTCTCTTATTTCCCTTCAAAGATTTTTTTTTGCATTAACTAAGAGAACAAGGAATAGTTCACCTATCAGATCTATGGAGAACAGAAGAATTCATGACCAAACAGGAGATAAAGAACATTACAAAAAGCAAAATGGATAACTTTGATTACATTAAGTTGAAAAGTTTTTGCACAAACAAAGCCAATGTAACCAAGATTAGAAGGAAGGTAGAAAATTGGGAAAGAATTTCTACAACCAGTCTCTCTGATAAGGACCTCATTTCTAAAATACATAGAGAATTAAGTCAAATTTATAAAAATACAAGTCATTCCCCAATTGATAAATGGTCAAAGGATATGAACAGACAGTTCTCAGATGAAGAAATTAAAGCCATCTATAGTCATATGAAAAAATGCTCTAAATCACTATTGATTAGAGAAATGCGAATCAAAACAACTCTGAGTTACCACATCACACCTATCAGATTGGCCAACATGACAAAACAGGAAAATGATAAATATTGGAGAAGATGTGGGAAAATGGGAACACTAATGCATTGTTGGTAGAATTGCGAAATGATCCAACCATTTTGGAGAGCAATTTGGAACTATGCCCAAAGGGCTATAAAAATGTGCATACCCTTTGACCCAGCAATAACACTCCTAGGGCTATATCCCAGAGAGATAATACAAATGGGAAAAGGACCGACATGTACCAAAATATTTATAGCAGCTCTTTTTGTGGTGGCAAAGAATTGGAAATTGAGAGGATGCCCATCAATTGGGGAATGGCTGAACAAGTTGTGGTATATGTATATAATGGAATACTATTGTGCTATGAGAAATGATGAACAGGCTGACTTCAGAAAAACCTGGAAAGACTTGTATGGTCTGATGCTGAGTGAAATGAGCAGAACCAGGAGAACATTATACACAATAACAGACATGCTGTGCCATGACTAATATTGATAGACTTAACCCTTCTCAGCAATACAAGCATCTAAGACATCTCCAAAGGCCTCATGATGGAATATGCTATCCCCATCCAAAAAAAGAATTATGGAGTTTGAATGTAGATTGAAGCATACTGTTTGCTATTTTTTTTCTTCTGTTGTGTTTTGTATCCTTTTTCTGGTGGTTCCTCCTATTGGTTCTAATTCTTACCTACAATCTCACTAATGTGAAAATATGTTTAATAGGAATATATATGTATAGCCTATATCAGATTGCATGCTGTCTTGGGGAGGGAGGTGGGGAGGGAGGGGGAGAAAAATTTAAAACTCAAAAGCTTGTGGAAGTGATTGTTGATAATTCAAAATAAATTAATTAAAAATTAAAAAAGAAAAAAATATGTTTGCATTAATATAATCTTAACAAAACATTAAAAAGATAAGTATTTAAATGCAAAAATAAGAATGAAAAAGATTGTACATGATACTATTAACTTTTGTCAAAGTTTGTTTTAAGAGTTATATTAACAAGATAGTAACAAAAATGTCCTATTTGTGTCTTTTTCAGAACTTTTTTCCTTCTGTGTATTTTTTCATATTTTGTTTCTGTTATTTTGATATTATTTACACAGTTGTAGTTACTATATATGTTGTGGTTTTGGTTCTGCTTTCTTTACTTTACATCATACATCTTCCTGTATTTCTTAGTACTCTTGATATTTTTAATTTCTCATGATATCATATTAATTCTATTTTTAAACAATTTGTTTAGTCATGCCCCAAGGGAAGAGTTCATTCTGTGATATAAAAACAAAGGGCATCAATACAATATTTTAAATATATCTAATTTTGATGCTCAAAATGTATTTTTATAAACTTAGTTGTTATGCCATTAGGTGCACAGATGTGTAATGCTGCTATTCTCTCAGGTCAATGGCAGATTAAGCATACTATAACTGCCTTATTTCAATGTGAAATCTTCACGCCCAATAGTAGAGGCCACAATTTATTTTTGCGTTCATATTCTGTGGAATTCTGTCATGGAAGAAAGGTTAAATGAAAGAGGAATTTCATTTAGAAGACAGTATCTTTTCACTGCTTCTGTTTCTAGATGACATGATGCTGACTGCATTGAAGCTTAAATACTACATTCTTTTTGTTAAAGAGAGAAATTGAGAGCAAATAAAAATACTTATAAAACTTTCACAAGAGGAATGTGATTCTTTGTTGCTATATAAATTGTTAGAGATATTTGTATTTGTGGTAATACTACCCAAAACATATGGTTATGCTATAGAAACATGCATTTTCTATTTTCAACAATCACAACTAATAAAAATTATCTTAAGACTGATTTATATTATGTCTATGTATGTTCAGGAATATCCATTCAATTTCATCTAGCGCAAGCAGAACTTACTGTTTAACTGTCCATGTGGAGCTAGTATTAAATAATTTTATAGAATCTTAATAGGCTACTCTGTAACCAATCATTCTTTTTGCCTGAAAATAATGGCTGCAACTACAGTAACAACTCAATTTGGGTCTTATTAATGACCACAGATTTTATTTTGTAAAACAAATTTAAAATCTATCTTTGCTATGTACTAATTAGTGCAGTATCAATGTAAATTACTTAGCATGCTTAAATATTAAGAATTCAATTTCTACTGTTCTATGTGAATTTATGGTTTTTTCCACAGAAAAACCCAACTGGCATTAAAATTATTTTTTCTCAACATTTCAGTTGGTCATTATCAGTTTTGATTTGATGACATTAACTTTAAACTCAGCCTAGGATTATAAGTATTTGACCTCCTCCTGAGGAAGGGAATAACTTAATTAGTTTTGGAATTTTTAAAAAAATATTCCCAAAACTTTTAAATTTACATTTCCAAAATGTAAGTAGAAATCATTCATTACTAAAAATTACTAAATATATTTCACATTTTCAAAGTCAACTAATCTGATACAACATTAATGTCATTAACAAAAGAACAAATTCAAGTAGAAATCCCAGACTACTGCAAGAGTTTCAAAGAACTTTTGAATGATTTTTCAAACATCCTAGATTTCTTTAGGAGCTAATAATCGTCCCCAAAGTGAACATATACATTACTACCTATCAGGCAGAAAATGATGTTTTCAGAAAGAAAAATAACTCTCTCCTCAACAAATTCATTAAATAATACACATGTTTCCTGTTTTTGTTAAGGTTTTAAAATCTATCAACTGAATGTCCAATTGGATAAATTATCCTGTCTTGGGAGGGGAAGTACAAGGAGAAAAAAATGGCTTTCTTTATATATCATTAAGAATACCTAGATTTAGCCATATTGAGTACAGTTTTGAGGATTATGGGAAATTCTCAGACTAATAAAAATGGATTGTGTTGCTATATGAAACAATGTCCTAAAATACTACCTAAAATGTTTTAGCTTTAAGATGAAAAAAGTAGAAATAGTTGTTTTAGGGTGTGTGTTGTTGAAACATCAACAAGTAAGAAGTGATATTTTTTTCATGGAATTTTTTTCTAAACATTCCACCTTAATGTGTAATGATTTCAGTTGTCTAGTACTAAAACCTGGGCTTTTAAAGCTGATTGTATAATACCTAGCATTACCAGTGTATGTAATAGAGTTTAGTCAGTAGTGGCTTCGGTTTCAACTGGACCCCTAATTAGTCTTCTCATTCCTCTTTTTCCTGCAGGTCCTTTAGTTTAGCAAAATTATCCTAATGGACATGTTGCTTTGGAGGCACTTCACAAAGGAAGTCTGCTGTTAATTCATTTCTATTATCTAATTCAATCTTTCTAATTATGTCCATCTGTGGTTTTCTTGCTATAACTTGTAGCAGAGGACTCTCAGGGCAAGAACAAAGTATTCTTTCTCTTGCACTGCATGTGTACCCAGGCAATGAGTGAATAAAACCCACAGAATTCAAATTATCTCCTTATGGGAATGTTTACATGTGGGGGAAAAAAAAGGATAACATGCTCAATCTTTTAGAATCCTTTTTGGCAAGTCTCTTAGTACTGTATTTGTCATTTTGGCTAAATTATATTTTAATTTTTTATATTTATTTCCAATTGCACATAGTTGAGCTGACTACTATTTAATTTTTCCAAAACCCAAAGAGTTTCTCCAGCAATGGGGAATGTTACTCCTTGCAGTGTTGAATACTTAGCAGTCATACCAACATCAGTTCAGACCTCATTAATCTTACTTTACTATAATTCTTCCTCAGCTTCAGTCAAAGGGTCAAGGGAAGAATTGAGAGCTCAAATATTTTCTATATGCACTCAGTGAAATGCTTTTCTTCATTGTCCCAAATAATTTGTCTTTAATATGACCTTTTCCAAAGTCCTTTTCATGGTTG